TTTTATATTTACTTAAAAATAAACAAGTAATTAATTTTTACTTGAAAATAAATTTAAGATTATTTGTTAAGTTAATTTATTTGAATTGATATTAAAATATAAATTTTGCTTTAATCAGTATTTTAAAGATAACTTTTAGTTAAAATAATAATTATACATTTATAATGAAAAATAATAATTGTACTACAAAGATTGTGACAAAATAATAAATTATTAATAAATTTAATGACCTAAAAACTAGATTAATTAATTACAACAAAAAATTTAAAAATTAAAAAAAAAGCAATGAATCCGATTGATATTTTTTAATTTTTAGACTTTTTTAAATAACAAATATTGCTATTTTTTAATTACAAAAAAAAACAAAAAAATTTAAAAATTAAAAAAAAGGGCCTGATCGGTCCGGTTCACCATATCGGACGGAACCGGAACCGGCCGAGCAATGAACCCATCCCGGGCAAAGAACTTGCTCACTTGTTCGCCCGAACGGGTTCATTGCCCGTCCCGAGTACGGGTTAACCCGGGACGGGTGGACCGCCCAGTCGTTCAATTTTTTTTTTTAATTTCTAATTTTTTTTTATTTTCTCTCTAGTCAAATTATTTTATTTGAAAAAATAATAGAGGTAAAATGGTCCAATTTTAAAATACGTGGCTTCAAGTAGTAAAGGTGGTTGCTTTGAAAATAAACACCTTTTTTTTAATAGTACTTTTGACTACCTATATGAAATATCTCAACTTATATTTGTCATTCCAACATAAATAATCTACATTGTATTTTTTTTTTTTTTTTTGAAAAAGAATCTATGTTGTATTTAATTTTATTAAAAACAGACCTGAACCCTAAACCCTAAACTACAAAGTATGATTTAGATATTTTTGAGAGTATATTATCCCAGTAGAAGGGGGAGGATTAATTGAAATACACGTCTTCCTCACTTTCATGTCTCTTGCTTAAAACAGGCTATTAATATTTAGCCAAAAAAAGGTATATAACGTACACTTACCTCTAGTAACAACATTTGATACTAAAGTGTACCCTCTTCATTTCACAAAATAAGTCATTTTAGACTTGGAGAAATTTTTTAAAATATAAATCGTTTTAGTATTTCAAGGCAAATTAATGATTATTTTTTTAATTTTACCCTCAATAAATGATGTTAATTTATTTTTATTTAGTCTTGTTTATAGTTCCAATATAATTATGTAGGGAGTATTCAGATATTCTTTGTGGTTTTCCGAGTGTAATTAAGGAAGGATCAGTTGTTGCCAATTGGTAATGGACTCAATGTTTACCTCCCCTTTTCTTAACGGCATTCCATAATGGGTCAGCATTTGTAGTTAATTATCCAATTTTTGTGTCAAATCAGGTTCGTAGCAGTTTGCCTTTGGAAGTTTCGCCAGCAAGAATTAGACCATTATTGCAATATAATGTGAGCGAAAATTCATATTTCCAAATGATAATGTAATTTTCAGGATACAACTCTTTCACTGTTTGTTTAAAACCAACATTTCTTTTGTTTAGTTGTTTCTTTTGTTCCAACGAGGAAATGAACCGACAATTTTATTATGGTGAAAAAATTAGGAAGCTTCCTTCCACAATATCAGGAGTTGGAGGTCGGTGGGGTGAGCCAATTAAATTTGATTAAAAAGAACCATTTTTCAATAGAAAAGGGGCCCTCTAATTAAGAAAAAAATTGGTGGTGGTCCAATTCTCCGAAGGAAATTTTTGGTGTCGGTCCTTCCCCTAAATCCCTCTTATACTAACGTTATTATGCACCGAAAATTGACCATTATCAGTAAGTAGTAGTACTACTAATTCACAATTATGACGTACAAATCGTCCACAATAACAACGTTGGACCAACTGCCGCTGAGCAAGTGCAATCCAAGATGTGGCTTCGTTGTGCGTTAGTTAATGCACTTTTGTTTTCTGTTGCCTTTTTCCGTTTTGTTAGTTGATCCATGAAGACTTACTGATCAAATGAAATTGGAAAGACCGAAAGAGACTTGTCGGTGATTTTGGAAATTAAAATGTTTAGATAAGGAGATAATGTGTTGAGGATTTTTGGGATAATGTTTCACACCAAAATAGTTCAAGCTGACTCTAATTTCACTAAAGACGACTTTCATAGTTAGGTGTACACAAATTTGACTGGTAAAACTAGTTTCATACTTTTTCTTCGAATATTCTTTGTTTTATTCTGATTCTCTGCAGTTTGGAATGACATTTCATCCATTTTCGTTTGGTATAGAGAACTGCCAAATCACTTAGATTAATTTTTCCACTCGAGATGGATAAATTTCCTCCAGGAAGGGAAACACCTAATTAATTAACAAGTGCAATTAAGATGACATTTTCTATTGTTTCTTCTATATTTTATATGAAAATCTTGTACCTCAATTTATTTTATTTTGTGACCCTAACAAACATTTGCTTACCGTAATGACAATATATACTCTTTTTGTCTTAAAGAAACAGTCCGGTTTCTAAAAGTGTACAAGTTTTTAATTTTCAGTCAACTCTATCAAGATACAACTCATTTTATACTCAAAATTTTTATTTTTACCTTATCTTCTCTCAATCGACCAGTCATCATCACTGAAATATATATCCTCGCCATTGCCGGAAAAGACATCGTTGTCACCAATCGTCCCATAATCTTCTATTGTGGAACATTAATTAGATTGTTTAATATCACGATAGTTGAAGTATCTAACTGCAAAACTTTACCGAACAAGAGAAGTAGTATGAAAAAATACTATTGTTGATAATAATATCTACAAGTCAGCTATGATTAATCATTATTATTAACGATCAAAATATCATACTGCATGGGGAAAAAAGGAAAGAGAAGCAATATTAAAGTTTTCTTACAAAGACATTCCTTGAGAAGAAGCGAAAAACGAAAACGGTGAAAACATGGAATAATTATAGAAGATACAATACCAAAAAAAAAAAAAAAGACTAAATGGAAATAAATCTCGCGACGCATATTAAAACTAGAATAATAATGCATAAAGGGAATATTTTATGAGGAATGGTATTCATTAATTTTATTACTTTATATTTACTATTTAAAATTAAGTAAATAGTTTAGATGATTGACATATCATTATTTATAATTTTTTTTTAACTTTCCACGTATGTATTTTTTGAAAATCATTGTAGAAAATAAAATCACGTGGGTAAAAAAAAAAGTAAAATAAAAATCAAATGACTTTTTCGTCTCGATCTATTTGCTTCTTCATTTGATTGGTATTGATCGTTGAGAACGCTTGATTATCTTAAATATATATGTAATTCACTAATAGTCATCAATCTTAAGTTTTCATGTATTGTGCAAAGTACGAAAATTAATCATGATTATGTTTAATATTTAATAGTCTTAAGACTCATAATAGACATTGGAAATGGTTATAATCTACCATAAAATTGAATTTTGTAAGAATTAGGAGGTGTGCGCTATATGATTTTTACTGAAGAATTCATCTCCATTTTTATCTAAAAGAGTACATGATACCTTCCATTGAATTGGAGTCAGTGGGGGCACGTGCCCCAGTGCCCCCACTGTAGCTCCGCCCTTGTATGTGAAGTATAATATTTTCCATATCCAAAAATTATTATTTATTTTTAATTTTCACTTTTAATTTAATTTTTATTAAAGCTGAAAGATAAACGGGACAATAAATTTTGGAAGGGAATGAGCATCATGTTGATGATTTGACACTAAAAACTAAAATGTACTGATGCCCTCAAGAGCGGCATCTTTCCTCCATTCCGAAGAAGCAATACAAGCTTTGATATGCGACTGACCAGACCTCAACCCTAACTTCATGGATTGGTGAGTAACCTTTCTTCAGCTTAACGAACAAATTATCATTCAAATGTTAAGCATCATAAAATTGGTACCAAAACCTTAGGGGCATCAACTTGATCCATATGTTAGGAAATTGTCTCCACAACCATCAGAAGAAGTCATACTAAAAGCTAAGAATTAATCAAAATAATAAGAAAAAAAATTATGGAACAATGGAGAAGAATGCTACCCAGGATTTGGTATCAGAGCAGATGTAAGCAAAGGATCCTGTATTATGCATTAGCAGCTTTGGTGTATCTCATTTGGCAGCAGAGGAATACAGTATACCATGGAGGCAACTTGATGGCAACTGATGATGTGTTTAGAATGTTGAAACAGGAAGTACTTGGTAAGTTGAAATTAGTTTGTAAACAGTTTAAAAGTTCTGAAAAAGACTTAGTACAGCAATTAGGTTTGGGATGTTAAAAAGAGAAAGGAGTTTGTAATAGCAGAAATAGGTTGTAAACTGTGTTGAGAAGTAATACAATTTACCTTTCATAAAATAAAATAAAATAAAAAATATTATGGAACAAACTACAACACCCTTAAAGGTATATAATTGGGAGAAACACTTTGAAGTTTGAAGATAACGAGATGCGCCATAACCCTTCAGCCTCGACTCGAAGAAGCCAAAGTTCCACACTTATTTTCTTTTTTGATGTTTGAATCTATTGTCCGACTGATTCCAAATAGTTGTAGTTATCAATTGAAGCATTAATGGTAAACGAATAGAACTAAACTTTCAGTTTTAAAACGGAGAATCCACTTATAAATCTCTTCAGAACAGTACAATATTCCAAGTTGCAAAGAAGTCAAATTTGAAATGGAACAAAACTCAAAACTGAAATTTCATCCACAACTTTTGGTAGCAAGAACAAAAAAGAACCAGAGAATATTCATTATATATTTTCAATTCCTTTACACACCAAAACACCATCAACGATTAGCATAGAAATCCTCTTCCAAAGGCTCAATTCTCCTAATTAAAGAGACCATCCTTTCAAAATTACAGGATGGACACAGAATTGATTTCCATTTCCCTATGCCTTCTTCTTTCCACACCCTATACAATAATATACTACTCTACAAATAAAAACTTGGAAATTATCAGTCAAACCGACACAATCCCACTCCAATGATGGCTTAAGCAGCAGATGGAGCAGCGATATAGCGAGCTGGTCGGACTTTGATCCTCTTAGCCTCGGCCTCAGATCCAACTGCCACCGGATTGCTGGCCGGTACGGGAGTAGCTGCGGTGAAGGTGCTCTTGTAATCCAACGACTCATCGTTGTAAATGTCCCACCATTTCTTGACCAACATCTTGATGTCTTCCCGGTCCATGTTCTCTTCCTTGCCGGTATACCTCCACGGCTTTGATCCGGCAGCACAGTAATGAACCACCTTCACTTTCTCAAGCTCGATGTTCTCAGGGTGGCGCCAGAGCATGGCCAGAACCAAGTTGTAAATCGGTGGAATTGGCTTGTAAATGTCCCTGAAGAACATGTTCAGGAAGTCCTGCACCCGAATTACAGCAAATTAGATCCCGAAATCACCCCAGTTGATGGATCAAATGGAGTCATGAAGTGGGATTATGCTAATTTTGCCCTGAGAAATGAAGGTTACCTGTTCGGCGAAAGGCGTAGGAGGAGTGATTTTGAGAGTGCTCAAGAGATCGTCGTAAACAGGGAGGCTCGGCTCAAACACGAACATGCCGGCGTTGAAGTAAAGTGGTGGCTTGGGGCCCAATTCCTCCGGCCACTGGACTTTGTCAGGGCACTGCTGGCAGTACCCAATTTTGTACTGGGGAGTATGACTCCATGTCTTCTCGCAGAAACAGTCCATCACGGCGTAGAAGTAACCGTCCGGCAAGTCAAAGAGATGATCTATGTTCTCATACACTTGTATATCTCCATCCAAGTAAATCATCTTGCTGTACTCCACAAACTGTACCCACAAACATAATTAAACCAAACCCGAATCAGATTACCATCAATAAGTTCACAATTTCAGTAAACAAACAAAAATTCGTCATTTCTTACCTCCCAGATACGAAGCTTGGAGTAGTTGATGACGTAATAAGCCATGGCAAACTGAGTTTGATTCTCAGGAGGGTACACAGGCTCAATTTCACGGACTATACAGCCCTGATTCACCAGAATAGCCCGGTGCTCCTCCGGGACGTCCGGCAAACAAGCCACCACCAAAGGGTAAGCGGATTTCATCTTCCTCAACCCTTTGGCCAGCCCAACAACGCCCTTAACGTAATCACCGTTTCCGGCCAAAAACGTTACATAAGCACGGCTAGGCAAGCTGGCAGCTTTCACAAGACCAGTGGTCAGTGCACTACTGTTGACTACGGGAGCCATTTTTTTTCTTTTCTGATCTTTCTTAAGTTTGTTTGTTTGTGAAGGAAAGGAAAAAGAGAAGATTGAATCCGACTGTTTGTTCTTTGCTCTGCTCTGTAATACTACTGATGACTGATGAGAGAGTATTAGTGAAATGACTGTGTTTAGCTGTTTGCTTTGAGATTTCGATGAATGTTGGTAGGATATGTATTGGGTTTATATAGGCGTTTTTTGGGAGAATTTTTTGAAAAATCATTTTAAAAAGGAAAAAAGAAATTATTAGTTTCGCATTTGATGGAGAAATAATGGCTGTGGCGTGGAGGATTCTAGGAGGATCACGATGTCACTGGTTTATCAGTCCCTCTGACGATGTCGTTTAAGGACTTTAACTGATAACTACTGTGTTCAACGAGATTCGGTAAATTTTAAGAGTCCGAGAAATCGGAACGTACACGTATCCTTAGTTTTCATGGAACGGCTACCAGGTTTTGCGGGAGAAGTTTCCGGAATTGGGCGGTGGATATGAAAAGCCCACTAAAGTATTTTAATAAGTTCCCCCGATACACCAGTCTGGTAAAAAGAGCTCCTGGCCCGCGTAATCATATGGCGAATATACAAAATTGTCCTTTCCTTTCATTACAGGAAAAAAGTTGCTGGAATAAAAAAGCGAGGTCCGATATAGTAATTCAGGCATTATGGGGAAAAAGTGTATGCCGATAATATTAAGAAATTCGAGGTGATAATCTTGTATAATATGAATAGAGGGCCCAGCCAACTTTGGTGTATATACTTAAATAATTAATTAACAAATTTTGAAAATGTTTTATTAATTAGAGGGTGTTTCACTTATGAAATTTACTTATTTGATAATTGGAACTTGGAAGAACCAAAAATCTTGAATAGACTTCTTGATGTGTGTTGTTAGCCTAACATATGGCGTCATAATTTTAAAGAATATCGAAAACCATGTGCTTAGCATGATCATAAATTACAAGTATATGCATTTAAAACACCATGTAACAAAAGCCAATTATAATATAGGGATCCTAGGTACACTTAGCAAAGTGTATCTAGGGTGAAACTCATGCGATCAAAAAAAAGGAAACTCCTAATATTTATAACAATGCTATCCGAGTATTTACACGCGCCTATTAATATCCTTATTATGTGAGACTTTTTGATTTTCAAATCACGGTAACCGCTGTTTGCTCATAATTTCCGGTCATTAACCCTATCCAACTTTCTTTTCGATTCAATCCAGTACGTCTCAAACCAAAACTTCAGAAAAAACAATTATCCATTCCCGAAGCGATACGGTGACAAAAAGCTCCCCGATGTGGTACTTTCGAAGAGGAAATTATATTGTGCAACAAATCCAGCGATTTGGGTTGCGATATACTCTACTCCGACTGAGATTTAAGGTAATATATGGTTTAATTCATCGATTTTGTGTGTTTATTACATCTATCAAGTTCTAATAATGTCGTTTTTGTTTTCTGAAATATTCATATAGAAGCCTGCGATTGAGGAATCTAAACCGAGTATGAGCACATCGAAAGATGAAGAAGAAGTGAGGTAATACTACTATTCTCTTCAACAATCGATGTGTTTTCACGGTTGGGTTATGTAGATCTAAGGTATTTTCACTCGATTTGAGACGTTTGTTCATTAATTTTTAGTTTTGTGCACAGATGTAAGTTATATTCACTCGGTTGACGATGTTTGTTCATCAATTTTAGAGTTTTATTTTTCGATTGGATGTTGTTTTTCCAGTAAATTGGTAGATGTGTGTATTATTCATCAGGTTAGTATAATTATTCATTGTTGAAATTGTCAGATTCATTGTTTACCATAACTATGTAGTATTTTTTTTTGGTAAATTAGTAGATCTTTATATTATTCATCAGTTTGGTATAATTATTCATTGTTGAAATTGTCAGATTTATCGTTTACCATAACTATTTAGGATTGTTTTTTTTGGTAAATCACTAGATCTTTGTATTATTCATCAGTTTGATATAATTATTCATCAGTTTGGTAAATTAGTAGATTTGGATATTATTCATCAGTCTGGTATGGTCATTCATTGTTGACATTGTCAGATCCATCGTTGACCATGAATATGTATTATCCATTTGTTAATTTTCTTCATCAGTTTGGTATTTGGTATTCATCAGATTGTATTTTTTTTTTTTTTAGATATTCGTCCGCAAATGGATGTTATTCATTGGGTCGGCAAGGAACAGAACATAAAACCAGTTACGTACTATGCATTAGATATGTATAATTATTCATCAGTTTTGTATAACTATTCATTATTGAAATTGTCAGATTTATCGTTTATCATAACTATGTATCATGCATCCGTTAATTTTCTTCATCAGATTGGTGTTTGGTATTTATTATATTGTGTTGTTGTGCTATTCATCCGTGAAGGGATGATATTCATTGGATCGACAATGATTATTAATTTTTCAATTGCATAATCTGAAAAGTACATGATATCTTGTCATTGTCAAAATGTGTATTCATCATCTATGTACAGTTATTTATTAATTCACAAAAAGTTGTTCATTAATTTTGTGATACATCTGATGCGTTGATATTAATTAACACAATTAAAAAATCGTCCAATAATGATTATTCATCTTCAATAGTATTGCTATTGATGATTAACAGAGTTTTGATTGAATGTGAAATCTCACTTATTATAATGTTCTTTTTATTTGATCAGCAGGAAAGAAATGCTCATCAAGATAAAGTCGATCGGCCGAGAATTAAATATTTTGCCAGAGTTGCTGAAATCAAACAATCAACATAAACGTGTATCAAACATCGGCAAATCCTTCAAGACCTTGAATATTAAAAACAATGACTAGTTTTTTTTTTTTTATCTAGTATAATACATAATTAGAAGTTTGTTAGTTTTATTTTTTATTTTTTATCTAGTATAATACATAATTAGAAGTTTGTTAGTTTAGTTGCTAATATTAACCCATTGTAATATATATTTTTGTTATCAAAGTTATTCATCTAGTAATGTATATTATTCATTCATTAAAGTACAATTATTCATTTTGTAAAACTACAACTATTCTTGATTGCAATATTGTTATTCATTTAGGATGAGATCATTATTCATCAGGTTTGCATCGTTATTCATCTTTGTGAATATCGTTATTCATTACAAAATTTAAATTTATTCGTCCATAACGTTATCACTATAAGAATATCATTATTCATCACGTGCATAACGTTGATATTATAAGTAGCAAAAGCCTCTTTCTCAGAGTTGAAACATTGTCTAATAAGCACATTATATGTTATTCATCAATAACAACTTGTTATTCATTACTTAAAATAAGATACTCATCGTAAAATCTTAACACGATGATACACCATCTGCCAAAAAACAACAATGAAATTCATGTTCATCAGTAATCATACATTACGCATCACCTTACGCATGTATATTTCACCAATAAAACGAATACATTCTACATCATTCATCTTTCAATAATTGCATAACATTATTCATTGTCTAAACGTCGATTATTCATTACTGAGAAAATACACATTAATTCTCCATATTTATAAGTCTCAATGATTCACCATAGTCATTTTTATCAAAATAAAATCCATCGTTATAAAAAAAATTATCTCATAAAATAAAATAATATAAAAACTAACATGATAAGTCAAAAAAAAGATTTAAAATTAAACGTGTGTTAAAAAAAAGGGATAAAATCAAGGGGTTAAATGCCAAAAAAAGGGATAAAATACCAAAAAAATGGATAAAATTAGGTGATTAAATGCGGGATTGAATGATGCACGTGAAAACATAAAAGTCAGGATAAATTGCCCACTTTTTTTGGTTTTAGGTGGGTTTGGATGAGATACACGCATTGCTAGGTACATCTTGCAAGGTGTACCTAAGAGTTTAATATTATTTGCCAACAAAAGCACATATGTTACTGAAATACGATTCATTTAATTTAGTTTATTCAATAAAACAATTTAATGTACATAGATAGATATTATCCACCTGAGCGAATGTAGAGATATTTTCTATACGGATTGCAAAAATATGATCCTTTTTTTTGTGTGTTCAAATCGCATTTCAGATGGAATTAAGAGCGCACGTATAATTCATTGAGATAGGATAATGCATCATCTTCCAGAGCTTGCCCCTCAGTAAATGGATGCACTTAATTTTTCACTACATAAATACACTGATGCCCCGATTCATTGAGATCTTTTGCCGAGGAAATAGTATACTCCTTCCAATATTTTTTATATGTTTTTTTAGAGAAATTATCAAAACCAAAAAAACATTAATTAATATAATTAAAATGTAAAAATACTCTTATTTATTGTTTATATAATCCATCATAAACCAATAAAAATTCATTATAAATACTGTTTTATTTACAATGCAAGAGTAATATTGATAAAAAGTTGTCAAATGTACCTGTGAAAACGACGTGTATTTAAAAGAATTAATCAAATCCTAAAACGACATATATTTTAAAATGGAGGGAGTAGTATAAAAGTTTTGTTGATCAATGATACTAGATTTCTAAAACGACAAAATTAAAAATTACAATCTACGTGAAACAAAACACGTAACCAAAAATTACTGTTGATGGATTGTGAAATATTTCCAACAACTAGCATCGCCTTTAAAATTATATATCTTATATGTTCTTATTGGAATACTGAATGAAATCACAACCTTGAAGTCTTTACCATTATTTCAAATTTTCAAGTCTCATAGTTTTAACTCCCTACATTGTACTATACGCAATTATCAAATTTGCTTGTTTATTATGAATTTTGGTCATTAACGATTTACCCTCTATTCCCTCAATCAGACAGTTGTCCCCCACACGGAATCTTCCTGAAAATCGTATATTCACCTACTCAAAGGCAAAAAGAGTTTAAAAGGAAAGGAAAAAAAGAAAGAATTTTATTGGGGATATTCCCAAAAGAGTAAAAAAGTAAGAATAAAATAATCTGTA